CACCATTATCTCTTCAGTCATTGCATATGGCCTTGTGTACTTTTCAAAAACTAAGGCTCAAAATGATCTCGACTTTGAATCCACAAAGCCAGCAACCGGCTGGGGAACAATGAAAAAAGATACAAAGTGATGTGCAGATAGCTGACAAACTACAAACAAATATATGGGAGCTAAGTCATAATTATAACGTGATGTCGACGAAGCCCTCCATCGTGAACTGACCGCCACACAAAGACACTAGCTGAACATCGAGAAGACAGAACAACCGATAGATGAAGATGTTGGGAAACGTTGCATGAAAAACAAAAAAAATACACGCACACGCAAGATCTATCCATGAAGATGTGTAGCAACGAGAGGGGAGAGTATGTCTACGTACCCTCGTACTCCCTCCGGTCCTTTTTAGTCTGCATATAAGGTTTGTTTAAAGTCAAAGCATTTCTACTTTGACCAAACTTATAGAAAAAAATATCAGCATTTACAATGTCAAATCAATATTGTTAAATTCATTACGAAATGTAGTTTCATGCAATATATATTTGGTATGGTAAATGCTAAAAAAAATTAGTATATATTTGGTCAAACTTTGCAAACTTTGACTTGACCCAAATCTAAACCGCGGAGTAAAAAGGACCGGAGGGAGTAGACCGTAAGCGAAAGCGTTTAACAACGCGGGTGACGTGGTCGAACTTCTTCATACTCCAACCGATCAAGTACCGACGTACGAAACCTCCGCGTTCAACACACGTTCAGCTCGTGACGTCCTCTACCTTCTTGATCCAGCAGGACGGTGAGGTAGTAGATGAGTTTCGGCAGCACGACGGCGTGGTAACGGTGATGGTGAAGCTATCCCCGCAGGGCTTCGCCTAAGCACTACGAAAATATGACTGGTGGTGTAAACGATGGAGGGGGCGCCGCACACGGCTAAAACAATGTTCTAGTTGTGCTAGGCGCCCCCACCCACATCTATACCAATATAAAAAGACCTAAAGGGGCAGATCCAAACCATCTCGACCGTCAAATCACGTTATCTAGCGGTTCAAATTGCACCAATGTTGAGCACCAAATATGTTTAACCCTCTAATTACCCACCACTGCCATTGGTTATAAACATGTTTTGACTCAACGCTATCCCATGAAATCTGCCTTAATATCGTATCATTCCTGCGAAAAAATAATTGATATCTTACCAAATACCAGCGTACAACAGATATACCTTACCTAATATAATATGCAACCAATATCCTACCTAATATAAACGTGCATTGCACGTACATTATTACTAGTATATATAGGTGGGGGAGGGAGGAGGCAACCTGGAGGCGCCCCAAGTGGGTCCGAATCCCACTTGTGATCCTACCCATAGCCGCGCCCCCCTTGCCATGTATAGGTGCGGGGAAAGGCAGGGGAGGGAGCCACCCCCTTTCCTTTATCCCATGAGAGGGACAGGCAGGAGGGGCTAGCCCTCCCCCCTTTCCTTTCTGTAACATCCTAAAATTTCAATTTGGAATGTTATACATTAGATCATCAATGCATATCATATTTCTTTTGCATTTTGGTTGATCCTAGAAATTCTACGCAACTCAATGACCCATGAAGAGAGTTGGGGATTTCGTTATTTTCATATTTGAGTTCTCTCAAATTTTGAGAATAGGATCATTTGATTTTATTTATTTTATCATCAATTATTTCTACTACAAAAATACGAGAGAGGGAATAAAATGACTTTCCCAAAATAAAGAAATATTGAGGATTTAATAATAAAATTAAATAAGATTTTTTTTTCGGAGCTTTTCTGTGTTTTATTTGAATTAGGAAAAAAGTGCGTTTTTCAAAATTGCTTTTAGGTCCCAAATAAATGTTCACCTTGTGTGGCTTGATTTTAGAAGTCCGTGAAAATTTATTTTGGAATTTTTGAAGTCCGTTTAGTATTTCTTTTTCCTTTCCTTCCGAGCGGAATATTTAAAAAAAAACGCGCCCGACTGGGCCAAGGGCCCAGCCGAGCCAGGCCGGCCCAACCGCCGCCGCCTCCCGCTCGAGCAGCCGCCGGACTCGGGAGGAGTCCGAGCCGGAGCCGCCTCGCCGCCGCCCGACCCCCTCCCCAAGGCAGCACCCCCCCTCTCTTAAATACCAAGCCACCCCGCCGCCCTCACCTCACCACTGCCCCGCCGCCCGTCAGCCGCAGCCGCCCCGCCGCCCGC